GGCAATTGAGATGTGGTACTCCCGCCTTGAAATGATGGGCGGATTGAGTTACAAAATATTTGATTATCTCTTTGTGGAAGCAGTTAGCAGCTAGCTAGCGTTGCAGCCTGCAATATAAACATTTTAATTATACGCCTAATTTATGTGGAATAAATTAGTGGTCTGTGGACTGGGGCTCTGCTCTCCTGTTCACAACATTGAAGTTCCAAGTTCCTACTTCCAACTGTGCCAAGACAAGACACAGGTCTTTAACACAGGGACGCTCTGTTTTTACGGGCGAGTCATCTAATGGGCGCCCCTTGTGTTCGAGTGCGCTCAATAATTTTCCCCAATTCCAGCTGTCAGTCGAGGTGTCAAATCGCAGCTACTCATGCTGTGCTGTGCTCTGCTGTGCTGCTCACAGATCGCAGATCGCAGAACGCTCGTCCCGCCCCTCGGGTAATTTAAATTAAGCATCTGACGCACACCTCGACGGATCCCTTGGATTCCCCCGACTGCCCACCGATTGCCCCTCGAATGCCCACAAAATAAAACCGCGATCCGAGAACGACAATGCGATGATATGGGTATGCATCCACTTAGCGAGGCCAGAGGATGCCTTCTGTGATACTGATTAAGATCATCCACATCAACAGAACCATCGTGTTCATGTGGCGCGATCACGCTGACAACAGCTCAAATCCCCATGAGGAACTTGTAGCCGCATGTACCACTTATTTGAGCGTAAAACAATTTGCTATCCCAACTATCGCGTCCATGTGCTCCAAAGTGTTCATCCGAACATGGCCTAATCAAATGTGCTGGCCACAAAAGGTGTCTTTCAATTAACTTTAAATATAAACGAATCAGCAAGAGATTGTTATTTGGCACTGCAAGCGCAAGAAAATGTATATTTAAGGCTTACAGCAAAGTAAATTAGCTTAACAAGATAGTATTATTACTATTAGTGCAGGCTTTTAAAAAAAAAGTTTAAATAGAAGCACTGTGACTATCCTGAACATTAAGATATTGCTCACTGTGTGCTTGATTTCATATCAATCTATTCAACGTTGAAATAAGTCTTTAAAATTAGAGATTTTGTGATTTTGACAAAACCATATTTTAAAAATATTTTTATTTTATTAAAAGTGTAAAAATATTATAAAAGCGTGTTAAAATTGTTATAAAAGAGTGTAAAAATACCATAAAGGAAAAGCCTTAAAGCTTTTCTTAATTCACAAAAAATAAATAGTAGCTATTACAAAGAAATCTTGAATAAAACTTAAATCTAAGTGTGAAGTCAACCAGGAAAATGTGGGCTTCAAAGGGTCACGATGGACTGTCACCGCATAGGACTTAAATTTAATTGGAATAAACCGATTCCGATGGTGGTGCACGATAATTTACAACTTTTCAATTTGAACATTCGGTCGAGCATTATACACAACAATGATTGGTTGCCGCTTAATTTTTCGCATTGGCCGGAGAAGCAACATGAGGCACAACTGGAGACAAGCTGACGCAATCACGACATGCAATAAGGAACATCCGAATTGTCGTATCTGCGACAGCGATCTCGGTTGCCATTGAAATGTGGCAGTCGTTGAATGAACCTGGACTCCTTGCTAGCTGGAACCACTGGAACGAGTACGAGTACGACTACGAGTACCATCAGCACCACAATCACCATCAAAACCCAAACCAAACCAAACCAAACCAAGCCAAACCACCAGGCACTGGCACTCCACCCACATGCGAGTAAACAAGAGCTCATGTTGTTCAGACGATCAGGCGATCTCCTCCCCCGGTTACACTTCTCCCGCGGAGGCTGTACTGTGGGAGCTGTTTGTCAATTTTCTGACAAAATGTTGTCCTGCTTATTCCATGCAGTCGAAGAAATAATTGTTTCAAAGGTTGAATTGAGTAATAAATCTGAAAATAAATATTTTCAGCCTAATATTTTTAAACCCAAATACTCTATTTTGCGAAATTAAAATTTTGAAATTTTTGTATTTTTTTAAAAGTTTTGAAGCACCTTAAATAATGAATTTTGGTGTTGGTGTTTTTTACTTATTCCCCCCTTCATTTGAATGATTTTCCAGCCTTCTATATTTCTGTATTTGTGTATATAGAACACACTTTAGCTACAGATGTGTGAATGTATCTGAGGTAAATAAGAGTCAGCTTGCATATGTCAGGAAACGCTTTGATCTCTTAATTTTCTGCAAAAATACAGTTTAAATCAAAGGGAAGGCCGCTGAAGTGTTGGGATATGGCCACGTGTCACAATATTTGTGACAGCATTAACGAAATAATTGTTGAAAGAGTGCATTATAATTACCATGCCGCAAAGGTGACATACTCGTTCCCCCGTTGTGTAAAACAAATGGGATTTCCTGATAAAAACTACTTTGTAGTTATGCGCCTCCGAAAGGAATAAATCATCTCAACAGTTGGGGCTAATTGTTTTTGCCGACCTAAAATTAGTTATTCGTACAATTTGGTTGGCTAATTTATTTATCACTCTCCTTTTCGGTGCAAAACATACACATCCACGTTTGATTGAGAGATGTTGGCAAATTTAATTTCGAAAAACAATGAACTGTCTTTGGTTGAGAGACCTGGACATGTTTTGGGATCGCAGTTCCACATGGTTAAATACGGAAATGTGGGTTTTACTTCTTCTCGAAAGCTGCACATCACCTATCGACTGGAAAAAGTCCGAACAACCGTCTGCTGCACTCTGTTTTAGTCCCATCATTGTTTTAGTTTCCAGTGTGATCGTTGTCTGCATAATAACATGTTATTATCATTTTATTTGTTTGCCAGCTCAGCTCTTTCTGGGATCAAGCCGAGAATCTTCGGTCAGATATCATGGTAGTGCGCAAAGGTAAAAAGGCAATGTGCTAAATGCTCGAAACACATGTTCTTATGTTAAGTGTGTCTGCTGAAATTAGCATAATTGTGGATTTCGCTCAGGTTTGGAAAATATCATCGTTTCAGGTGAGACTTCAGGCAGACACCTATAATTTTATTCAAGTTCTGCAAATAATATTTATAAACTGCATTTTCATTATCCAAACATAGTTATTAAACCTTGTCCGGAATACTTACTTATTTCTATATGATCAGCATTCCGTTCCCCAGAGTAAGTGTAAGTTTAAACAAATTTAGGTAAACAATAGAAAACACGCTTAAGCTGGCCAAGCATAAAGGCCGTGACTTTTCGAATGTCGACAGTTTCTCAATAAAAACGTGGGTATATATACTCTGCCCATTGATCTGGGCTTTGAGAATGCTGTAAACCGATTAAAGATGCGGGGTCCAAATGGAGACACAACCAATAACATTGGAATTTCCCTAAGCTGGCTGAGAATAAACAATTTGTTGAGAAGAAAGTTTGTTTTTTTGTGATGGAAATTATGCTCACCGCTCTACAATAATTAAATCATTCCGCCTCTGAAACTATAAGAAGATACACGATTGATTTAAGCTGACAACCGAAATCCGTTCCAATTTCCAATGACTATTGAGTCTTAACGGCGCTGACAATATGGATTTGATACTTTTGAGTAAGGCTTTTGTCCGACGCCACAATGCAGCCAACAAAGCGCTGTACGCGTGAATTAATAATCTACTCCATAAAAACAGATGTCAGCTTAAAATTCGGGTAGCGCTTTTGTGTGCTACTGGTTTTTTTCCCATTCAATAGCCCAGATTACGCTACTCGTATTGAGTCGGATCTATAAAAACGGCCTTCACGTGAGCCAAAAGGCAATTCTACTGCAGGCCAATCAGGAATGCAGTGTTCATAAATGGTCTCTCGATTCATATTTGTTTAACAACTAAATTAATGTGTTTGAATATGTTCGGAACACGAGGTTATCAAAGTTTTGTGGCTTTTGAGTTGAAGAAGTAAGTAATATGGGTATACAAATTGTTTTCAATTAAATTGAATGCATGCAATATTTTATTATATACTACTCATGTTTCAATTTTAATTTTAGGGATTTATCTTAATATATAAAAGAAGTTTAAAGGTTTTTATTTATTGAAGATCATAAAATTATAGTGAAATTATTATTAAATATTGCATAAATTTAACTCGTTGCAAAACACAGTTTATTTACCTTATTGTTATTTCCTTTTTGATAATAAAAGGATACCTCATCTCTAAAGCTAAATCTCACTTAACCATGGATGAGCCAGAGCAATTCGAGCTTCGATAGTCGATAATGGAAGACCATAAATAACTTGTAAGGTTTATTAACCTCTGGCTCACTCCATTAACTCCACTGGCATATACCGCCTTTTGTTACCTCCATTCATAAGTTTTCTGCTCACTTTGCTCTTGTTCTGTTTATGTCGGCGAATGCGTTTCCGGTCAGCGACACAGGAAAACACGTTTATAGCAAAATATTGCTTTTTTGTTTTTCTGTTTATCGTACACCATCGCAAGCCCTTAAATCACCACATGGGACTGCCTATGATTAACCAATAAAAATAAGACAGTATACTATACTTACTCGAAAGGAAATGAAACGAACCGTCGGTTCTCATTTGTGTTCCAATTTATTAACACCTCTTTGTTTTTGTGTTTTATATTCTTCGATTAATTGTTATAGCTGTTGTTTGCACTTTTTAATTCTATTTTTTTGTTTTCGGCTATAGCGTATTTTCTTTCACTTACGAACATAGTGGTGATTGGTAGCAAACAAAAACCTCATCAAAAGTATTTTTTAATGGAAACTTCAAATTTTTGTTTAGCTTGGTCTATTTTTGTCTCGGATTTATTTGATATGGAAAAAAGAAAGTAAAAAGTATTGGTAAGCTGTTCCATTAAAATCAGTCTAGACATCTTTATAACTGACGAAAAGTAGGATTGTGTTTTTTTACTTAAAAAAGGTCTAAGAAAATCAGACAACAATGACAAATTTTAAAATTGCATTGACTTGTTTTTAACCTGTTAAGAAATAGTTTTCCCAATAAATAAACAAACACCCTTCGTTTTTATTTATACCAATAATTGTGGCTTTTGTTTAATGTGTCTCATTATCGTTCTTTTATTATAAGTATATACAGTTTTACTAATTTACACTACGCTTAGGGCGCTACAATTACGCGAGCTTACATACTTACAACTTGTGCATAAAGTACAGCAATACATGGATCTCTAGTTTAGGAAATAATTACACACGTAGAAAATTATGGTACATACGAAGTAAAATAAATTAAATTTATAAACGACAGGAACAAATTGGTAACTTAAGACGATAAAAACAATAACAGCTAAATCAATGATTGCTCGTGTACATTTGGCTTGGGTTTGGGCTCTCATTCGGTTTGGGGAAGGAGGGGGAATTTAATTGGGGGGTTTTCCAGCAGACTTGGGTTGATATGTTTCGGGTCCTCCTAGCTACGAACTCAAATCGAAGGCTAAAGAAAAATAACTACAGATGGGATACGGGATACAGAAGTGGACCTAGCTGCCAGGAATTGTGCTTCTATAATTTAGTGGGTGTTTCGTTTCGGATCTGCCATCATCGCGGTTATGTTAGTGTTTGTGGTCGTCGGGTATGTATGTATTCATTGATGTCGCCCTGCTATATATCTTCCAATTTACATCCTATAAGCTCTGATTGCATAAGTTGTATGTAATTAAATTAACGTATCTTCAAATGGTTTTTGGATTATCTTCTCCACAAAATTGCACAACGTCTGGGGCAGCGGTTGGGTATTTTTTTCTCTTTTCGCTTTTCGCTTTACTCTTTTCAATTTTTAATTTTATCCTTGTTGTTTCTCGAATTTAATTGGTTTTCTTGTGTTATTTTGTTGTTGGGGGCCCAATGCCAAAAGGAACCGCTGCATTTGTTTTTGCTTGCTATTTGGTATAAGCGGCGTTAATCAAAATACCGAATAATCACATTGTAAATTATTGTCCGAAAGTGTAATTATACCTTTCAAGCCCGCGCCTCGAAGGCGTCATCGAAACTGGAGGTGACTACGGCCGCAGGAGGGTCAGCTTCTGCTGCTCCCGGAAGGCGATCAGCGAGCGGAAGGCGGAGATGGGCGAGGCCACGGTGGCCGCCGGAATCGGGTCCGGGTCCGGAGAACAGGCCGATGGATGTCATGGCTTTGCACTCAGCGAGGTCACATTCACGCCCGGCGATATCTTGCCGGAGTGCGAGCTGGAGGACGAGGCGGTGGAGTTGCTGGAGATTGGTCCCATCATGTGCTGTGCCGCCGACTGTCCGCTGCTGGTGGGTATGTGCACCACGTCACAGCCCATGGACGACGACGAACTGGAGGCGGAGGGCGAGGCCACGGGCGGCGGCGGTACCTGCTGCTGGCCGCCCGATCCGCCCGAGGTCGTCAGGCTGAGCGGCGCAAAGTGGGGTCCATTGGCCGCGCCCGAAACAGCCGCCTTCCAGAGCAGCGGATTCATGCCGAGTGGGCCATTGTGGGCCGCCAAGCTGGCTCCGAAGGTGCGCTGATGCTCGAGGAACTCCTGCGTGGGGGCGCTCAAGTGCGCCGCAGCTGGTCCGTAGAAGCCTCTATACAAATCCGGTCGGACGTAGGGCGAATAGTTGGGGATCCTCGCGGCCAGCGGGGATAGGATCTTGCCCGGCGAGGGCTGCTGGCCGGGATGGCCGTAGAAGCCGGGATGCGCAGGCGGTAGCTCGACGAGACTGTCCTTGGGTCCCGAGCTCGAGTCCTTGCTGTCCTTGGAGGCCATGTCGGCCAGCGACCAGATCCTCGGCTTCGCCGTGCCCCCCACCGCCGTCTGCAGCGAGTTCTGCTGCGCCTGCTGGTGCTGCTGCAGCAGCTGCTGCTGGTGGTGGTGGTAGGCGGCGATGTCCGGCGGCGAGCCCGCCGGCGGCCGGAAGTGGTGGTGCAGGGCGGCGGGGTGGAAGAGGGGGTGCGCGCCCGGCGGCATGCTGCCGGGCCGGTCGTACAGGTCTGGCGATCCGTTCGGCGAGCCCGGCCGCGACTCGGACCACTCGCTGTTGTTGCTCTCGCCCGGACGGTCGGCCATCATGTCGCCCAGGCGACCCGATCGGTCCTTGTCGTCCGTGGAACCCACGCCGGAGTCCTTGGCATCTGCAAGGAGTAGGAAAAGAGGTGACCAAATTAGAACAAAATTAAGGGTAAACACAAATATTTTAATTGTTTACACAACTTTAAAATAAAACATAAACATAACATAATGCGGTTTCGGAATGCTTGGTCTATAAGATCTCGCTATCTAAATTCCTTTCTAGGCATATTGTTGCCTACTTACAAGGGCTTTTTGAGAAAAATATCGAAAACATTTAAACAAAAATGTACCCTTTATTTATATTTTTTGAATATTTTGTTTGATTTTGTCAGCGCATTTTTTTTTTATCAAACTCTGTGTAACACATTTACTCTTACAGTTATCTACTTTTAGTTTTATCAGAGAAAAGATTTCTAATAATTACATAGAAAAATTATTGTCAGTATCAATTTGATATTCACGGATCAACAAACACGTATTATTTTTAACATTGAATAATGTGAAACTTGATATTAAATAAGGTTATTTTTTGCTTTGTCTCTCAATTCTATTCAAATTGATATGGCAAGTATCAAAAAATATAGTTCTATTCAAATTTTGTGTTCTGTGTAAAATTGATAAACTAGCTTTCTATAAATTTAAAATAACAAAAACCATCTCTTACCTAGCAGATCATTGTCCTCCGTGTTCTTGTCGTCGTCATCGTCGATATTGGCATCGTCGTCGTCGACGCGATTCCTGGGCTCCCAGGTCATCTTGTTTTCCTTTTTCAGTCTTCTTCTCGCGTTGGCGAACCACGTGGACACCTGCGTCAGCGTCATCTTGGTGATAATGGCCAGCATTATTTTCTCGCCCTTGGTGGGGTACGGGTTCTTCTTGTGCTCGTTCAGCCAGGCCTTCAGTGTGGAGGTGGTCTCGCGGGTGGCGTTCTTCCTCCTGGCACCGTTCAAATCCATGCCGTAGCTGGAATAGCAAGAAACGAGAGGAGAAAAGGCCAAATTAGAGGGGGTTCTGGTGCGGATGTGGACATCATTTGCGCGATAAGGAATAAGGAACAAGAAAACCCAACGACCATTCCCCGAATTGCCAGCAGGTGATTAAGGCCGGAATGGAATGCAGACCGACCCAGCTGTTGCCAGGTCGTTTGGAGTTCTTTAAATATGCGCCGACCGGGCACCGAAACAATTGTTGCAATTTGTTAAACTGGCCAACTTGTGTTGGCCCAGCCGACGGTGGGCGGGCGGCTTTGTTCTGCATTAAATTTGTTCATCATAAACGCATTTGCATGGGCCCAGAACATTTATGCCCGTGCAGTTTGCGGTCTGACACATTGCTCCCCATCCCACTGTGCCATCGATGGTCAATGGTCGATGGTCGAATGTGGCCGCATGCCTCCGCGGACGACAACTGTCCTTTATCGCTTTTTGTGGGCAGTTAACATGAACGTTTTTAGTATATTGGTATATATACATCGCGACCGGGGGTACATATATGCCAGAATGCTTTAATACACTGAGGGATTAAGTTCTGTTCAATCAATTGTTTAATTTGTATGTTTCGTAACTGTTTAAGTCACCAGTTAAATAGTCATTTCAAAGTATGATGTTTATTGAAATTAAGTTCTAAACCAATATTTAGTTTTAGAACCACGAGTTTTTCTTTTAGGTCTCTATAATTCCCAACTTGTTTTGTTCAAGTATTTCAGACATTTTCAATGGTTTATAATATCTTAAATATTTTTTCCGAAAGTGTACTCTAATATTGGGGTACAGAATTATTTAAATCAAATCAAGTACGATTTAAACGAGCATTTAGGAGGATTACCAATAGTTGTAAAACGCTGTGACTTTTTTTTCGCAGTGTCTGAAATGCAAAACAGCGACGGGGGAGAGACAGAGCCATCGCATCGCATCGCATACATGTGTAGCTGTCTCATTTGTAGTTTTCAGACAGCTGCCCGATCCGATGCGATCCCATACCATCCCATCCCGTGCGAAATGGATGGAGAGAAGAGGATGACAACGATGTCAACTGGATGCTATAGAAGAACGACTCTGCTGCGTCCGCTGCATTAATTAATTTAAGTTTGAATGCAAAGTGTCGCCGAGTGCGAAACACCTGCGCAGACAGGCACTCTGCCTTTGATCACCTGACAGCTGAATACATTTTTTTAATTTTCCTATCAGCGCTGTAAATGATTGGTGACGACAACAACGACAACGCCGCCCCCAAGTTGGTAATGCTGCTGTGGGCGAAAATTAAAGGTGGGGCCCCTGGTATTCCTCCTGAATTTTGAATCGAATTCGCCAACAGCTCGCAGCCAGCACGTCACGGCGAAATAACTCAAAATTGATTTATGGTGAATATGGCTGGTCGATAGACAACGCAACAAGGCAACGCATCGATATCAACAGTAGCCGCATGAGTCAACTATCAAATTTTGTTATGAGTGTCAATTACAGGGGAAACAATGGGCCCAACGTTGTACCTGTCCGAAACGTGAGGTGACGTGACGGGATGTTGTCGATTGTTTAACCGGCAATTGTGTTTGTGTTTGGAAATTTATGTCACTTTGGCCACTGCAGTGTTTGTGGTTTTTTTGGTTGGGCCTTTGGGGCTTTGGCTTTGGTTTTGGAGGTGCGCTTCGCTGCGATCGGCGGAAGCAGCCCGCCGACGTGCAAACGATCAATTACAAGCGAATAAATTGCCGACGGGTGCGGGGAAATACGAATTCGAATTCAAAATTCGAATGCCACTGCGCCTGCGTGCCAATATGCCGGACTTTTACTATTCGAACGCACTTTTCCAATCTGGCATTTAAATGCAGGTGCTGCACGCACCTGCAGCACCTCAATCCCAATTCCGATACCAATCCCAATACCCATCCCAATCCCACTCACGTTCCGATCGACGCCTTTCAGCGGACCACCATCGGGGTTTATCGATTGGGAACGGGAATGGGAATGGAAATGGGTATGGTAATGGTCATGGGGAAGTATCTGTCGGATTCAGATACTCGCACTTTCTGCCAAACTATTGTACTATTATGACTAATCCTCACCTGTTGAACGGATAGCCGGCGAAGGCCGCGTCGTATGGGTGATACATCGATGGATATGGCCAGGGCGATGCTCCGGCCACCAGGTTCTCCTTCAGATCGATGCCAGCCTGAAATAAACACACAGATAACACAAACATTTTCGTTAGTTGTTTTGTCATTTTAATTTTAGACTAATTTCCAGACGTATGTCCGAATTTAGCTTGAACCCGAGAGCAACGGGCCAGACCTTGAACCAAAATTATTAAAAGTCATGTAAAACAAATCATTAAGACATCTTTGAATTATTTTTGAGTCAATGTATGGCTTGTTATCAGAGAAAACAGAGCACAGTGTGTGTATGTGCTGACAAAAAAATGATTGTGTATTTAATTCGGCAATTTCATTTGAAGCTATAAAAACTTAAGGGAAAAATGTGCCTTGGAATGATTAAAAAATAAACAAACAAAGCTTGACAAATTTATGGCGCTATTAAAGATTTTTTACAAGAATAAATATATTTTTTTTTGGAAATAAAGTTTATGTTAAAAAGAATTTTTATTTAATACAAACAATAAGTAAATATTCTGACAATAAAACAATTAAAGAAACTTTTGTCGATGGAAATGTAAAAGCCTGAATTATGGTCGATTTAACAACTGAAAACTTTCTCGTTATTCTATAAACTAAGTAATTTATTAAACCACATTTAGGCCTCACTGTGCCGCAGTTTTAGTGATAAGCTAGCAACAATCTGACCAGCATCAGCATCAGGCGAGCATGTGGGCATGTCGTGACGCTGGCAGTGACTTTAGGAGCAAAAAGCTCGCGTCTGCACTGCGCTGGAAGTTGTCGGAGATTGGCTCCTTAATCGCAGTGCTAGTACATGCACATTTCGCCATTAGGCGGTTGATAGGAATCACAGAGAACATTTAGGAACACAGACTTTGGCACTGATAGGCGTGGGACTGGCGTGTAATATAGAGCGCTGATTAAGTTTAACACGACAATTATCTGCGCCTCTTGTCGCAACTCGCTGCGACATTTGCCAGCTGTTAAGGCGATAATGACGGAGCGACAGAGGCAGCTGCCGATTCTGATTCTGATTCCACTAAGATCACTTTATGGCACTACTATATACAGTATATACCCGAAATTGGAGGCATGTTCGTCACTGCGAACTCCAGCCGCAGTTATGACAAGCAAGTTGCAAATAGTCGCCAGCCGAATAACAGCGGGGGTACGAAAACAAGATGCGAAATCAATGAGAACGAGCCCGATACCGATCTACATGGCACCGCAGGACGACTACGAGTACGACTACGAGTGCAGGACACTCGGATGCAGGTCCCAAAATCTATTGTCTCGGTGTCGCGACGAGCGTCTGTCTGGCCAGATTGCTGGCAAAGCGGAAATATTTTTATGTCGCCAACACGAAAATGTTGCCGTTGCTGTTGCTGTTGCTGTTGCTGTTGCAACATCGCTATCGCCGACCATCGACCATCGACTCGGAGTAGGAGTAAGAGTAAGAGTTTGGGTATGGGTATGGGTCTCGGTCTGGCCAAAAGGTTCCTCCTGCCCCTGGAGAAGACTCGTTTGCGCAGCATGTGGTGAGTGCGAGTACAGCGGCGATAGACTGATAAACAGCAAAAGCAACAGCCAAAGATCTCGAGGGCCAGGTTAACTCCAGGGCCAAGGCCCTTTGACAGGTACGACACTCGGAAAAATAATAATAATCATATTTTGAATATTAAGTACTGAATTCCCTTTCACATTTCCGTGGGTTACGATTACAAATGTTTCACCAACGAACCCCTTCCCTTTTTCTCTATAACTTTAAAGTATTTTCTTCCCCTTTGCATATTGATTAATAATTAGGGAAAAATTTATTTTTAATGTCAGTAAGTCAGGTTAAAGTTTATGTTATATGCCCGTTGGCTCTTGTTTAATTTAATTTTTTTCAATAAATTTAATGAGATGTTTAATTTAATTAGAAATTAGAAATTAATTGATTGAAGGCAAAATATTGCTTTGGATTTTGTAGAACCAGTTTATATAAAAGGCAATTTTTTTGAACTCAAATGTTGTAAAGTTTTTTTGTATTTAAATTGCAGAGTACAGGATTATTGTTTTCTGAGTGGAGTGAAAGACTGTGACTCCTTGCCATCGCAGAAGTCAGTTAGCCGAACATGGACAGTGTTTTGGGACAGACTATATTAAATTACAACAGGCTGCTCCTATTTCTCAATGGAAGCTCCGAACCGAGAGCTCGACCGAAACCGGTTTACGTTTTACAACCTTTACAATAATCACGCCCGGCTATCACGGGAATTGGCCAAAAGTTGGGATTGGGAATGGGAGTGGGAATGGGGATTGGGGATAGGATCCCGACTTCGAACCCAAATCCGAATCTGTGTCGTGCGTGTTTGGCAGCGAGTGCGTGTAGGCCATGATGTCGATGCGGGCAAAGCGCATATAATAAATTGTTGCCGGCTACCAGGAAAGCATCTCCACGGAGCAACAGTAGCTGGTTGCTAGTACAGACCGATTCTCTGGTGGAAAACGCACCCGTGCCGGGATTTGCGCTGGCGGTGGTTAATATTAACAACATTCGACATGTTTGCGTCTGCGTTTATTATTACCAATACTGCGATGCGGCAGCAGGAGCAGCAGCAACAGCAGCAACATCTACAGCCACCGCACAGATGCAACCCGTTTTCGAGTTAAATATTGCATTACCACTGGCGACGACAACTGCAATTGTAAAAGCGCTGTAGCGCAGATCGCATATTGCCGATAGCTTGTTCTTCCGCAACAATGTTTATGCATTTGCAAAATGTTTGTAGTTTTGGCACTAGAGCTTGTTCCTACGGTTTGTAAATTGTGTACTTGGGCATTAAATGCCCCCAATGTGACCACCATCAGCGAACTGGGAAAGATTTTTGCAATTGCCTAGCAATTTCTTAAAATATTTTTGCCGAAATGGGCAAATAGTTGCAATGGTTGGTTGAGAGTTCAGCCTATTAAATTATAATATTTAGAATATTATAAATATATTCTAAATTAAAGTATAGTTTGTAATTGGCTAATAATAATAATTAACTTCGCCTGCAATAAAATACACCACAAAACCTCGTAATAAGCTCTTATAATAAGCCTGTTAACATTTTATCATTAATCATCTCCCCTCAGACAAAGCAAATATTTGGTAAGGAAATTGTAAGCAAAAGTCCGAATATGAGTAGAAAATGTACGAGAAACTTTTCCTCCGTCCACCGGACGAAAATGAATGAGTGACCACTGTTGGCCGCAAGACCTCAAGTGGTTAGATGTCTGATCCGCTGGATCTTAACAACCGGAGTGCGTCGTTTCACGCATCGGGAAGTGCGGTTTGCCGGATCCCGGTTCTCAGTTCCCAGTTCTCAGATCCCCAATCCCCAACCCATCTCCTGTCTGCGGGCAAATTAAATAATTCAAATTAAAATGGGACTTTGTCTTCATTACCAAGGAAATTCTGCGACTGTGTTCCCTTCACGCCAAACGTCAATGGGCAATGCCTGGGGATTATATGGTTGGTTTCTGGGCAAAAGGGGGGATCCGAGGGGCCTCCGGCTCCTGTGGTCTGTCGCCCTGATGCGCCACGATTTGAGCGATGCGCGTAATGACGGGTCGAGTTAATTAATTGCTGCTTCGATTTAAAAATAAACGCACGTTTGCCCGCCGCATTCCCGCCTGTACAGCGAAGAATGAATGGAATCGGAATTGGAATCGGATTCGTATTCCGAATTGGAGTCGGAATCGAAATTGAAATTGAAATTGACGACAGCACGGAGTTTGAGTCGCGCCAAAGAATGCGTTCTGTCCTAGGAGAGCTAATCTACACTGATAACAAGCAGTTTCTTTAAATTTAAAAATTAAATTAATAAAACTGTTTATTTTCCGTTTAAGAGTTAATAAAAAAATGTTTAGCAAATATTGTCAATAGGTATTTTTAATATTTTCTATGTTAATATTAGATTTGTTGTATTTTTTTTATTACAGTTTGTGCTAGGCGGAATCGTAATTTATGAAATTGTGAATTTCCTACACAATGTTATTTCTTATGAAATTTTAAATATGTTTTCTTAGATTCATCAGAAATAAATTATAATTTTGAAACCAAAAAGTAAATATATTTTTGTATACCTTTTCTTGAGGCTAAACATAAATTTAAATGTGTAAAAAAAGTGTTTTTTTGAAATAACATTTTTTTCCTGTGGAGCCTTGCTTTCTTCCCCTTTCAAAACTGGAGCTCCCAACTCCCGATGACACTTTTTTTTCACAACTCGCTTATAAAGTTGTTCCACTGAGGTCGCTGTTGTTGGTGTTGATGTTGCTGTTGTTGCTGGTCGTGTTGCCTGTTTGTTTGTACGTTGTTCGTATGCGTTGCCATGACTGCTAATTTGTTTGTTGTAGGCAGGGCGGCCATTCAGGCCGTCACACACACACACACAGCCCAACACACAAACACCAAGGCGGAGGGAGGGCTTCCTTTTCCTTTGCCACCCATATAAAAGTGCAAAATTTACTGTTAACGAACATTTTCAACTTTGCCAAAAAGCCAAACAACAACGGCAGCAACACAAAAACTTTCCACAACACTTACGGCAACAACAATGAGATTGGTGCGAGCCGTAAATGTATTTAGTACTTTGGCACACAACCTACACAATCTACACAACCCCCAAACCCCCGACCCCTAAGTATCACCCACTCACCCACTCACCCGTCACCTTGCCATTAGAAAAGCAACCCCCAAAACAACACGACAACACTTCGACATTTTCAAAAGTTGACAAATCAGTGCATGTAGCTGTAGCCAAGGTTCCAAGGAGCAAAACAGAGCAGAGCAGAGCAGGATGTTCCAGGATCGGGAGTTCGTGGTCGGGAGGCTGTACGAGTGGCCATATCTCGGGGTTGTTTTCTCTACTATACTTCTGTATAATGCCAGAGTGTGATATCTGGAGTGGGGCCCTTTTTCGGTTCCAGTGCGAAGGAGAGTGGTCCGATTTGTAGTTGCTTTCTGCTACATTTTGTAGAAAACTTGCCGGGGGCAAAAGTTTTTGTGACTCCCACAGGATATGAGCTTATACCGCACATTTGAGCCAGCCATCCAGTCAGGCAGCCATCTAGTCAGCCAGCCTTTTGTTGGGTGGAAAACCCAGTGCGACTATGTTGTCGAGTGTGAAATTTCATGCTTGCATTGTTGTCGTTGATGATGTTGCGGCACTTAAACTGGGGAAAAGTCAATATACCATTTTGGCTACTTGCCCAGCGTCAAGTGTCTAAAAACACCCATCCGCCCTGTTTTCCAGGGCGGCGTGTGTGTTCGCATTCGGGTTGAAGGCTTCAGACTCCAGGCTACTTTTTATTGCGTAGGAAAAGTTTAAGTGTAACTCGGAGGACCCTCATTAGACTTTGAAAGTTACTTCACTTAAAATATACCAACAAAAATGTTGGCTTAAGCCAAGTTTTAATTTGTTCATTATTTTAGTTGAATATAGGTAAGATTTCCTGTGACTTTTAAATTTACTTTAGATTAGGTGAAATAATAATCCTGAATATGTTTATTGATTTAAAATCACTAAATATGGTATATCACAAGCTGCTCAAAATATGAGGAATATAGAAGTCATTATTTTGCTTTAAATTAATCAGGGAAAAGTTTGTGAATGGCTTCAACACTAAGTCCATTCTCTAAATTTTTCTTTGTTGACTTGTAATTTTTATAGCTTTATAATATAAGTTCACTTCCAGTTTGTTGTACCTAATTTGCTTTCAATATAATTGAACTATTTTTGAAGCACATTAAGCATACTCTGTTTCCTATTAAATAGATTGATAAATTTTGAATTTCTTTTGTCGCATTGAAAATTCCACAAAAAATTTCCCCGCTAAATGAACCCAACAAAAGACCCATTTTAAATTAATGCCGACATTCGGCAATTAACAAAATTAATTTCTCCGAGTGTCAGTGAGCAGCGAGTGCAGGATGCAACATATGCGACGAGGTCGAAGTCAATTTCGGACTTAAGGATAAACAGATAAACGGATGAATGGATCGCAATGGGATGAACTGAGGGCGGACAGGCTGACAGGCTGTCACTTGCGTGTTGACAAATTTATTAATAAGGTACGAGGCGGCAGCGGCCGTCGACGCCCCCCGAAAACACGAGATGGAAAACGGGGAATGCCGGGCATAAGGAAAAAGGAAAAGCGGAAAAGAGAGCGAGGCAGGGAAAAACACCGGGCGCGGCCTGGGCTCGGCCTATTTGTTAGCGGGCGGCGCTCTTCAAATGTATCTTGTGCCATTTGAAATGACAGCGATGCCGCCGCGGTGCACCATCTCATCCACAGGAGTCGTCATCGTCATCCAGTCATCAAGTCATCCACCTTCCAAGCGGAGTCACATTTTCGTAGTTGGAGACGGAGTTTTTGGGAGCGGGATATATATTCCCGCGCTGCGGCAAACTGACAGCCGCTTGACAGCTCGTGTCAAAGTAATGAATCCACCGCATTGAGCAGACACTTTTACAACTAGGCTGTATCTACATGTATATCTATACGGCTGTGAAGGCACATAGATACAGATACAAAGAGAAATCGCTCCAGTTTAGCGCCGGCGGCTGAAGTGACTAATTACGACCCTGGATGATTTATTTAGCAGATGCCACGACCCGACCTGTTTTGTCTTTTAAACGCTGCCATCAATACTGAGCCGTAAATCCTCCGTGATCTCAAGTGCCCCGTGCCCATATGACACTTCAATCACATCGTACTAAATTGCTGTGTCAGCGGGCGGATAAAACATACATATATACTCTATATAGAGTGCTCCGATCGATCTCTGATCGATGCTTTTCGTTGCGACTTTCATAATTTGTTTGGGCACATTGGCTAAATTTATACAGCTACCGGTTCTCTAATTTTATCACATTATTCCCTCGAAGTAAACCAGTTCAAATGCTAATTTCGTTTTAAATATACAATATATATTTTATTGGGCTTGTGTTTGATTACGCGAAACACCAATGGTGGACAGCGAGATTGCACTTAAATCACTTGGCGGCGATAACACTTAATCACACATTAGCGTTCGTTCGTTCACAGAGATCAGCAAATATTGTTTTCACCCACCGAGTGTGTGAGTGTGCGTGTGTTTAGTCACAGCAACTATGCAGACCAAGCCATTTCCCGATTCGTATTCCACCTCATATATCTACATACATCTCCAGCTCCAGTAGTGGCATTCTAAATACTCAACGGGCCATTCATTAAACTCTCAGTTTCAATTTCACAGTCGTCAGCTCTTTTCGAGTTCTGCTTCTGTTTCTTTTGCCCCGAGTGCCGTCAGCTTTTAAGACTTTTTTCTTTTTGGCTTGTAAGCAAATAAATTTATGTGTTCACTTTTGAATGCGACATTTTATCGGATCATATTTAATGGGCGCTGTTAGGGAATCAGCGGTCGGTAGAAGGAGACCTTCATAAAGGAGAACCGAAATTGTCCAACGATTCGGAGACAAATTTGAACATTTAATTTGAAGTAAATACCTATGTCAGTTTAAATGACATTTTTTGTTTGATTTTAGGAATTAAATTAAAGAGAACTGGGGATTTAAACATATGTTCTCAGTTTGTCAATATGTATAAAATAGTAATCTTTGTTTTCTAAGCCACAAATATTTTAAAGACCAATTCCTCTACAATTCCTCAGTAGTTTAAGAAAAACACATTAATCAGTGACCTTTTTTTGTAATTGTTTTCACCCCATTCAATTACACTCCTCTTAGCAATTTTACAGACAATTAAAAATAAGATACACATTAAATTACATTTTTCCCATTCCGGGTAAATTTTCTCAAAAACATTTTATAAGACAACGCAGACAAGGAAACGGGTCAAAACATTGTTTTTAGTTCGATTGACTGGTGAATGCAATTTCCCCGGTTCCACCTAAATTTTCGCCCGAACCGAACACATGCCCAAACTCAATCCAAAGCAAACCAAACCACTGGGTGTCCAATCCTTGGGCTCCGCATGTGGTCCCCGAGAACATTGTGTCCAAATAGAATTGTTGGCAAACAAAGGCAAATTACATGATGCTATTAGAAGCAATGCGAAGCGAACAAAGGGCCGACGGCGAAGCGCCGGACATGTGGTGACCAAACCAAGACGTGCCACAGTCCATTGTCCATAAATTCGGACAGTGCGGCAGTGCAGCAGTGCAGCAGTTCGTAGGGATTCCGATCCCCCGAAAAGACTTGCAGATCGAGTTAAGCCAACAATATTTCGCAACTCTGCGGTCTCGCCTGCACAATAATGTGACTTGAAATATCACTGGGGCGAACGAAAGGTCAGGCGTAGTACTGCAAACCTGGGGACCTGTGGCCCCCACGCCTGACAAATCGCTCCAAGCGAGGCTCTGCTGTAGGCCAGCACAAGCACAAGTTCGGAAGCATAGACGGCACAGGGACACGGTACGGTACACGATCAAATGACGACGCGACTTCAACTTCAGCTTCAACTTCGATGGTGGTCTCCCGCTCCTCGACTCGACAAATTCACAAATTTATTGCGCCATTGTTCGGGGCATATGACTTATGAACAGGCTTTTATGCACAGAAATCAAAATAGTTCTAAAACCAAAATTTCAGTAAATTTTAAAAAGTCTGAAATTTCTTAGTTATGAGATAGCTATAATTGAACAACTCGCTTGAAGTTAACATTTTTTCTTCAGAGATATGTTATTTTTTCTGGCATGAGAATCCTCATTCGAAGCTAATAAATTTTGAATCACTTTAGATACCCACTACTACTTATTTTTGTAATATTTTGTAATAGTTTTGCAACACAATTTATGTTATTAAATATCAAAATAACTAAAAAGTTTCATTATGATTTATAATATCAGATCTATTCTAAAAAGGATTAAGCTTTACAATATTTTAACTAACGTTTAGATCATTTCACCTTTTTGCTTTTATAACTGAACAATTTGAATGATATTGAATAATGATATTATGGTTCATGGTTTTTCCTAAGTGTAGGTCCTATGTCTCCCCAATTTCAGATATTTTTCATGACTGAGTTCACTTACCGGATTGGCGTAGAACGGCGGCTGGTCCGCTGCGATGCCGGAGAGGTAGGCGGACATGCCCTCCGGATAGACGCCGAGCGGGACTCCTCCGGCGGCGGCTAGTCGCTGGTAGTTGAGCATGTCGTACTGGCAGGAGCAGATCGTCTGGCCGCTCACGGGATCCGTGTAGATGGTGCGGCCCGTATCACAGCAGCGGTTGGGCGGGTTGCCCGCCCCGGGCGCCGGTGCCCCTCCGGGGCCGGAGGAGTGCGGCCCGGGGGGCGGGGCGCCCACCAGCGAGAGAGCGGGCATGCCGGCGGACGGACCGCACGGCGAGGTGGAACGGGCGCCCGGCGGCACCGTCGAGGTTACCATGCCACTGTGGCCTGGCCCGGCGATTCCGGGTGCACTCAGCGGCTGGGCGGCGGGACAGGCGAGCGTGGGCAGCGTCGAGGGCGGACTCTGCGGAGCGTTGGTTGGAGGCGTGTTGGGCGACGAGGTGGCAAGGTGAGTTGAAACGGCATTCTGTAAATTGCATTAAGTGACAAAATAGTTAATTAATTGTGGGATTAAAATATATATAGAGATTTTTACTAAGTTCCTGTCTTCCTTTCACTTTATATCTACTTTTTTGTTATTTTTTGAAGCAGGATGATGGTAGCCTTTGCAAAAAGATAGAGGTTTGAATAAGATATTGTTAGCATAAGAAACTATAAATTCAACTCATAAATGCAAGTGTGAAATTGTCTTAATCATGATTCAACTAGTCGAATTCAAAATCAACTAATAGAATTTTAAGTTTGAAAATTAAAAAAAGAATTAAAAAAAAAAAGTTAAGCTTGAGGTATAAATGTAGAATATTAAATGTAAAAAACAAGGGATGAATTGATTGAGAAAATGTCACCAATGAAATACAAAGAAAATAAACATAAATTCGTTAAAATACAATAAATATGGACTTAATAACAAGAGCTCTGCCCAAATAAAAAATTTTTAAGCACTAATCCCAAAACGAAACTACTTTGAAACGATGCTTTACCAAAATTTTCCCATTCCTGATAGGTATTTCATAAATTTGGTTGTACGACTTTGATCTTCTCCAATCCATTTCTCAAGTTTATGGCGGCCCATTAAAGAGCTGCTTCTTGCGATGGATAAAAAGCTACATAGACGGTCTACTGTACCGTGCTACCAGCTGGCACTAAAACTTAATTAAAAACGTTGCCCCTTATCAGCGCGATAAGCGCGTCTCTTCAGTGGGTTGCGGGCTGTCCACGGGCCCTTCAGAACCTCGGAAACTCGGAGCCCCAGAACAGGGATCCCGAACCGCTGTCTCAGTCAATAAAACGAAACGAAACGAAACACTTTCCCCCAACTCCGCTTTCCCGATCCCATACCCAATACTATCCATACTACCCATACCCATACCCAATCCCAAACCCCTTTCCCCTGGTTGATCTTCAAAGTGGGGCCGCCATTACCAACAAATCATGTTTTCGATTGACAACATTGATTTAAATTACACAGCCGATTGCTGCCAACGACGACAGCGGCAAAAGCAACAGCAACAGCAACAACTGCATCGACAACTAGCAACATCGTCAACCAGCAACGTTAACGGCAACGTCCTAAGAGCAATTTGATTGTAAGTTGTCCAATGACTGCCTGGATCGGGGCTCTATATAGTATACTCTGTGTATTTGTGTGTGCACATAAGCCTATCGCGCACTTTTGTCAACACTTTTAGTCAACTGCAACAGCAACAGCAGTGCAACAGCAGTGCAACAGCAACAACACTGGACAAGAGCAACGTACACATTTGCACATGCGACAACGGGGGGGACAAACAAGTTTTAGGTTTGTTTATCGCTGCCTCTTTGGTTAACTTCTCCACTTCTTGGGGCCGCTCTTCCCGTTTAACATTTTACAAATGATCCGAGGCGTAAGATACGATTTTTATCGCAGGCCGGCGGTCACAGTGCTGCATGTTGTATCGGTCGTGATTGATACCGCCGCAATGTGTTGCTGTTGGGATTCGGTGTTGCTGTTGCTGTTGCTGTTGCTGTTGCTGTTGCGTCTCGTGCTTTCATCAAGTGACAACTCAAGTGGCCCTATGCGATTAAAAATTAATTCCCGGTGTTTGCTGGATGGACGGATGGATGGATCCACTATACGCTTTCTTATCAGCTGGCTCTTTGAATCAGCCGCCGATGATTATCGACTATCTAGCTGCAGGCAATGTATCTGCACTACCATAATAATCAAAGCGGGGACTAAAATTATATTCGGGTAGCCATTGTGGAATATAATGTATAGAATGACAGCCATTCATGTCACTCAGGGCATGTTTGTTTAAACAGCATTTAATATTTTCTGATATTCTGTTTCAGCTTTAGTGTTGCGCCACAAGTTGCCTCTTGCACTCAGCGATCGAGTGTGTATACACGCTCAAGTGTCGAGTGTAAGTGATTATATTTTTGGGAGGCAATATTAACTGGGCATATTTGCCAGTGGATCGGATTACCAGAGGGCCAAAAAACAGAGGGTATTATTATGGCCAGAAGGGAGGAAACAAGTCTAGAATCTTATTGGCTTTGCACTCTATTTCTGAGAAAAGTACGATGTGACCTTGCCGGCTTGGTTAACAACCAAAGACATAGATAAAAGAGATTTTCCGAATTGGCAGCCAGTTTTTCGTGTGTTCAGCTAATGTAGCACACTTGTGGTCCTGACATTTTCAACGCATTTGGCAGACATCGATCCGAACATTTTGATCTGTTTTATTTTTAAAACCCATGTCTTCCGTTTGCCAAATCAAAATGTTAGGGCATTACGAACACAGCAAAATCCCGCTGTTTGTGCTCTTGTACATGTGTTTGCTTGATTTACTTGTGATGATCGTAGAGTGGGTTTCGCGATCGGCAAACGGGTTGGCCAAATTGCCACTATCAAAATGCTAAACTTGGCCATTAACAAGCCATCTTACGTCTTACAAATAGTGAAATTGAAAACAATTTGAAATACGCACCATTACTAAACAGATACCGGTTTCATTACTGTGCACTGTCATTTAATATTAATTTTTGCTTTTAACTAAAACTATAAAGCAAATCTTAAAGTTACGATGCACCGATGGTCTCGCGCGCACTTAACCGAAATATGTGTAATCCGAAAGTGATCTGTGATTGATCGGAGCTAGTTTGTTTTTCAATGGTGATTTTGAGTTAAATCCGGCTTGGGAGTATAGTTTTTTATAGTTGTTTTTTTTTTTGTTTTTAATTTTTTTCACTATTTTGCACTTGCCGACGGCGAAAAGGAGCTGGCCATTTGTCGTTGTCAGCCGGCCAACAGCAGGCGCTACTAAAGGGGCACCGTTAATCCGTGTAAATCCGACGGGGGTTACGGATTGAATTGGATCGGATCGGCTCGGATCGGAGATTGGAGATTGCAGATTGGAGGAGCTATCCGGAGGATGCGAGGTCGAACAGGCGAAGCACGAATGAATATGGATCTGAGGCGGGCCGGTCTGTATCTGAATCTGGATCCGATTCCGAGTTCGAGCTGTGAGTTGTGAATTGAGAATCCAGCTCGCAGAACGATTGCGGCGAGCGGCGGGCAGAGAGCACAGCGGTATTATTATTTTCACACAGCCACTGCGGCGGACACGAACGATACGAACAATCTGCGTAACAGTCAAAAGTAGACTAACATGAGTTTCTTGAGCAACTACAAAGTGTACGACAAATGGGAATTACACGACAACCGACAATCGAAAAACAGCGCAGGCAACACACACAGCAACAACAACAACAAGCAGTCGTCCAAACGACGCACCACCACATAGCTACATTCCCCGATTTCGCTGTATGGGTGAGCGAGAGAGAGCCAAAACTGGTTTCTCCCCTTATTTGTACTTCGTTTTCGTTCGTATTAGTGCGTTCTCTTTGCTCTTTTTGAGAGCTTGAGAGTAGTGAAGTATCTGTGTGTGCTGGCCGTTGGCGATGTGTGCGTGCGAAAAGTATCTGTGAGGTGGAAAAAGTAGCAAACGAGGCGGCACGACGACAAACACGAACGGCAACAACGGCAATAATGATTATCATTATAAGTGGGCTGGCCGCTCTGACTGTGTGTGGCATTGGGGGATTGGAATCGGAGTCGGAATCGGTGGCTATAGCTTCCCCCCTCACCTATGCCCCCTTTTGCTCACCAGAAACCAGTGCAGGAGGAAGAGAGACAGAGCGAACCGGTTGGTTAGACCAAGGGGGCAAAAAAGTATCTACCGCCTGTTTGTGACCATAAATAAAGTATCTGCCAGCTGCGGCAGGCGTGAGCGGGATGGCTATAGCCGCTGCGCCGCTGCCCACGAATCGCATCCAACGGCAGCGACAGCAGCAATATCGCAAGTTGCTCGCGTTGGCTGTCGAGTTGCTGGTGTGCAAGCGAGATGGCAGGCCAGCGGCAGCAGCAAGCAGCAGCAACACCGAGCGGCAGAACATGAAAAAATTAACTTAACAACTAGAAAAATGGCTGTTATTGCGTGTTGTTGTAAATGCCGATGTATGTATTTGTAGGCGGTTGTTGTTGCTGTTCTTGCTGTTGCTGCTGCTGATGTTGCTGCTGTTGTTGCTGCTGTTGTTGCCGCTGTTGTTGCTGCTGTTGCTGCTGCTGCTGTTGCTGTTGCAACGCTGCTACTTGCTGCTGTTGCTGCTGCCGCCGCAGTTGCTGGTGCTGCTGCTGCCGTGGGTGTTGCTACGTGTAGTTGTTGCCATAAACAACACAACAACACGAACGTCGCGACGTATGAAAGCAAAGTGTTTACGCTCGCTTCTCGCTTTTCGCCGCTGATGAAAAAAGAAAAGCCTGATGAACATGAACGAGACTCGTGAAGAGGTTGGGCCAACGCGATGGGTAATGTTTTATCATCCGCCTCTGCCGCAGTCGCTGTTGGCAGTACGCCACCCCCCCTCTGTTACCTCCGCCCCACCTCTTGACCGCTTTGGCTCTTTGGCTGGATTGGTGGCATCTTTCGCGCTGCTCCAACAAAAACGCCACCGCAGCTGCCGTCGCTGCCGCTTTTGCTGCTACAACATACGCTCTTACATTTTATTATGTAGGTATTTGTTTTTTGTTTTTTGTTTTCTGTTTTTGCCTCTTGCCGTGGCGTTTCTTTAACTTTTTCTAATTAATTGAAACGCCACTCGAGAGGAGTGACGGCTGCTGTTAGAGCGGGACGGCGTTTATGTGCTACATATGTATCAAACGTGTGTACTTGGAGTACATTCGAAAGCTACTTTGTCGTTCCTGGCAATCGGTGGTTATCCCCCCGCTGCCGCTGCCACAGCCACTGCCACTGCCACACCCCCATTTTTCCTTTCCGCCCACCTGAGCCTTGTGTCGCACACGCAGTAAACAAATTCTTACAACATTTAAATGAAGTCACCGAGGCTTTATCCTTTTCCATTGCTCCGACATTAACGATTAGTTTTTCGATAGTCATTTATTAGGGGTTTCCTTCTCCGCAGGGACAACGCTTCGCAAGTTTTCGTGAAAATTAATGGATTGACAGTGCGAAAATAAAAGTTTAACCAATCATCGTATTAAGGTCACTTATTAAGGTTAAGGTTTTAGTCTTGAAGACAAATTCATTTTTTTCACAGAATAAAAATTATACGTTTTGGTTTCTTTTTTCTTTATAAATAAATTTTAAATTTTTTTCTTCTTTTTTTATCGACTTGAAAATAACGAAATCTTCATATAAGCTTATTATCACAAAAAATACAAATGATTTCATAATATTTATTTGTACGTTAAAAGTGTTTTTTCGATAACTATTTTGCAGTTTATTTTAACAAAGAAAGGTATTAACTAATTAATAACTCAAATAAAAAATAAGAAAAAACCATTAACTCAATAATAGATATTTCAATAAAATTTAAAATGTTTGGTTGTTTATTTTCTATTATTCAAATATTATCAAATGCTAGGCTGTTAAAAAGTGAACTAAAAATGGATTTATATCACCCTTTTACCAATTTGATCACTTACATTACTCTTAATAAGAAAAAGAAAATGGTGTTTTCTGGTTAACCCATTTTAAGTGACTTTTACGATCCGTATCTGTATCTGGCATCAGTATCTTCTTTTTAATTCAGAGCGACATTAATTGGCTCGCGAGCAACAAATTCAGATCACGTTAACCCATTGGCGCGCCTACAAAATTGCCGTCGCCTTCTGTGCAGCAACACGGCAGCAACAACAGTAACAACAGCAGCAACATGAAGAACAGCAGCAACAACTGCTACAACCGCAGCAGCAACTTGTTCCATGGGCGGGGAAAAAAGGGGGCCGAGAGAGGCGTGGAGAGGAGGGATGGTCCGGGGGGGATTGGCCAGCCAGAAGCAACCTTTTTCGAGGCGGGCTTACTG